GGTTGAGCATGCTCTCTGTAATTCATATAGACTCTTCATTTCTTATTACTTATTCTGATTCTTGCAAACGTATTTTTTATTTAGACTTTGCAGACACTTGAATACATAACCACTCTACCAAGTGTTTTTCAATTTTTTGGTCCTTGAATCAGAAATACCAGTATTACCTGGGACCTTGTTAAAAATGTAAATGCTCAGGTAACCTATGGGTTACCAAGTTACTACAGGTGATTATAATACCCTCTAAAGTTTAAGAACAGCTATTGATATTAGGAAGGCATTACCTGGTAACCTCTCTCAGTTAAGGCATACCTTAGAACAGCAACAAGAGAAACAAACACAGCAGAAGTATAACAGATTCCTATGCCCCATCCCAGATATTCCTACAGAGACAGAATCTATGGGATCAGGTACCAGAAATCTGGATTATTAATTAGTCTTTCCCACCCTCCCCCCCAGAACAACTGTTTTGAAGTTAGGCTAACAGGGTCCAAAGATTGGTATTGAGAGACCCTTGGGCTAGGTGACCTCGCCTTTGCAAAGCTGTCCAGTTACCTTTCACGCTATGTCAATGAAAGAAGCTTTGAACATGAGGGGTCAAACCAGAGCAATGAACACTGTAGTACTTTCATCACTATGGATATTGACTCCTGTCTCCTTTTCTTCATTTTGGGTAAACCTCAGGTTCTCTTTCTGCCTTTTGCTAACTTTCAATCTTGGCAACAAGTCTTCTTATACTGGTGAGCAGGGTTCCTGGATCCATCCTGAAAGAAACCAACTAACATGTCTCTCACTTGTGATGGTACTACAGGATCCCTCAGGAGTACGGTATTATGGGGACTCACACACCCTTTTTTTTCTGGTCTCCATTTCCATTCTATACTTGTGCAATGAATCTGCTTAGCATTATAGTTACTACATTTACTTTTCCACTAAAAAGTTGCTGATTAATTAATCATTTTGGTGGTGGATATCTTCTGTAAACTGATCCCAAGCCACCTTTCTACTCATGACTCTAATTAATTATCCAAATACGTAAATCTTCTGTGTCACAGAGTATAACTCTAAGTAAGTTCTTCCACCACCTTTGCATATAGCTGCATGTTACTTATCTCTTGTGGACCAGGTTGAACTACACCCCTTACGGACAGTGTATACACTGTCCAGAGAAGGCTGTGACATTATTCTCATTTCCCCAGTAGTCATTCCTGAAAGAGCCCAAGTGGTGTTTGTACTAGAAATAAAATGCAAAGAGTGGCTATACAAGAATCACCGCAAAGATTATCATAAAGCCATCCATAAAGACATCATTGATGTATGTTTTTCCTCAAAGAATGAAGATTCAAATAAAGCTATTACTTGCCTTAATAATAATGCCCAATTAATAAAATGCAAAGGAACCAAACCCCCATAGCACAGTTTTTATATTCAAAATAGAATCGGTCTTCCCAGTAAAATATATTTGACCTACTACTGCAAACGGCAGTAATAGAATCACCATATAAACTTACTTCAAGAAGGAAATCCTTCTCTCCTTCTTTCATTTCTTAAAGAAATTCCTATGGTGCAATGAGTGTAACATAAAACAAAAGACTTACTGGTGAAAGCAAAAGAGCAGAAACCTAATTCAAATAAGATAGTTCAAATATTTGCATCACTTAAGTAACATAAAGTATCATTTTATTAGGTCATGTTTTCACTTATGTAAAATGAGTGTGCTAAAGATATGTATATATATAAATTATTCAATATGATACATATGTATATGTATTTATATAACAAGCTATAAAAGTTAGGGAAATTTAAAAACATTGTTAGAATAAAATAACATGAAATAAGATAAAAATTTTATCTTTTTGATTTTTAATAAAATTGTGGGTCTTTAAACCTAATTTTTAATGTTAAAAATGGTTAATAGTTCTAAAAAGATAAGTCTTTAAAAAATGTTCATAGAAACCTTCAAAAGGCCACATCTTCATAATATGCAAGTTTCACCACTGGGAATTAGGTCTTGAGTGAAAAAAGTGAGAATTTTATTTCCCTTTCTATGCATGTCTTATGCAGGTATTTGACGATTATATTTTATTATTTAATAAAATAAAACTGCTGAGTGGCAATGATTCTTAAGACAGTTTAATCCGTTGTATCCTGATTTCATTCAAAGCAGTACACAAATACATGGTTACTGTTTTTATGTCCTGAGTCCCACTCTTAGAACAGAATTTATATACTATCTTTTTTCAAGTCATTTGTCAATAGACAGAAAGACAGTATTATATATTGATAGGAGTTTTTACTAAGCTTGATTTTGAGGAAGGAAGAAGAGAGGAGAAAGATAAAAGAAGAAAATGAAGCCTACAATTCTGCTTCACAGTACTTCTCATGCACTTGTCAGTGTGTTGTTGTTTCATGTGCTTTCCTCTCTGCTGATGGTGGTATGCATTCCCTCAACCATTCAAAATGGCAACAAATGTGATGCCAACTTAAAGGAAATTTAAGAAGCACTGAATGACTGTATTAATCAGGTTAGCTATGGAATAGATGTTGCAGCATGTCTGATGTTTTGACATTCCATGGAGAAATCTGATCCGGGTTGTTGCCTATCAAATCAATGCATTGGACAAAGACTACTATGTCTTCAAGGAACAGAAGTGTTAACAGCTAAGTTCCAGTGTCACTGCAGGAGATAAGGATAGATGTTAGGCCAGTTGGAATTTAAGACTCATGAACTTATAATGTGATTTGGAATATAAGAAGAACCTATTCTACGTTCTACATGGCAAGTAGCTAGGGATAAAGGATATCATAATGCTGAGCCATTTTTGTTATAATTGAATGCCTTAAAAACCAATCAAAAGATACAAAACCTTTAATCTAGTGAATACAATTGTCTATCGACCAAATAATGAGCATAGTTAGAAAGGTAGACAAATCTAAGACACAATGCCTTTCCAGAAAATTTACAATTTACTGGGGAGAAAAGAATAAAAACATGGAATTAAAAACAGCATATATAGATGTATATACCTATGTGTGTATAGTACATGCATATAAATTCAATGCTATATTGTGTAATATAGTCAATAAGTATTATTAGTATTCAACAGAATTAAATTGTGAGTATTGAAATAGTTCCATTGAGGAGGTAGGCCTGTAACCAGATCTTTGGAGAGGAGTAGAATTTGAATACGAGGAAGAGTTATAGGAGGAAGATGACTGGACATTTCTATCAGGAGAAAACCAATACAGTACAAAATACGGCCTTTTGCCTTTTTGAGAAAGGATGGTGCATACACCTGGCCAAGATTACCTTCGGGACTATATTGGGCAGGGAGGGCAGAGGGGAGATTTATGCTGATGAACTTAGAAGGGATAAAGATGGATGCTGAAACTCGTAGTCCTGCCTACCGTCTATTCCTTTGCCCGAACTAGGGGATAAATCCTACTCTGTTTTCCTGTCTACTTAGTATAGGAAGGCAAAGTAATGTTCTGCTGATCAAGAAGAAGAACTGCATGCACGTTTAAAAGTGCTTCCTGTTTAAAGGAGATCAGCTTGGTGCTTTGTGACCACCTAGAGGGGTGGGATAGGGAGGGTGGGAAGGAGACACAAGAGGGAAGGGATATGGGGATATATGTACGCATATAGTTGATTCACTTTGTTATACAGCAGAAACTAACACAACATTGTAAAGCAATTATAGTCCAATAAAGATGTTTTTAAAAAGTGCTTCCTGTTTAGATATCATCTTTATGATATTTCACATCATTATGACAGACTTGGAGTAATGAAGTTATGATAAGAGATGTAATTTTAAAGTAGAGATGTCTAAGTCAGAACTGCATATACTATGTTATTACATGTATATTACACAGATCTCAGTAGCAACTGAAATAGTGCAGGTTGCTATTCCTACAAGCACTTACTTCATTTCACTAGCTCTTAATTTTCTCCAAATGTTTATATGGAGGCAGGGAGCAGGGACAGAAGAGTAATGTGGCTATAATTATGAGGCTTTCTGGGGCACAATAAACCAAAACAGCAATGCAGAAATAATTTGAAAACAAATCCCTGAGAGCAAAACTATCCACCAGAAGAGAAAGGCAGGGCCTGGTGATCTGAGTACAGAAATATAGGTCACAGGCATAGCCTCTGGAGCAAAGAACTCAAAAGAATGTTTGTTCAGTGGTTACCAACGCAAGTCACAGCTTTAGAGCCAAACTGCCTGGGCATGGCTCCTGGTGCCACTCGTTACCTGTGCAACCTGGGACAGTGACTTCACTTCTCTAGGCCCAACTGTCCCCTCAGACCCTGCTTCATAAAGTTGTGATGAGGGTTAAAAGAATTACAGTTTGTGAAAATCGTAGCACTCAGCATGTGGTGTCACAGAAGGAGTGTGAGTGTGTACTGTATTATCCCCAAAAGAACATTTTTAAGAGTGAAAGGGGGTGCTAAAAGCATTAAAGTTTATATATTATTTTGAAATGTTTATTTATTGGTCAAATAAACCACAGTTTTATTGTAAACCAAAAATAATTTTCAAAAATAAACCTTTTTCTTAAAGATGAAATAATTTATTTATATAAATTAAAAGAAAAGTACTTATTTATTGGTTATTATGAAGGAACATAAGTAGAAAAAATATTTTTGGTACATTTTCATGAACGCAATCAGTTTTCTTAGTTTGTTTTCATTATTGTGTTACTGGTTTTGTTCCCTAGAACATACTTTGTTTTTCAATGTGGTTTTTTAGAAACATTTTTAACAGCTTTATTGAGGTATTTACATGCCATAAAAATCCATTTATTTTAAGTGTATAATTCAGTGTTTTTAAATAAATTTCAGAGTTCTGTGAATATCATCACAAAGGCTTTCTATTTTTAACTTCTTCATAAAATTACCTGTAATATTCTTCCAAGTTTCTTTTTTTTCAGGTTAATCAATTTGAAATTGTTAATGCCTTCAATTTACTCTTCTCCGTGGACCATAGTAAATTTAAATGAGAAAATGATGTGTTAACATATACTGAAGTATCTGGTAACTCATGGTAAGTTCTAAATTTCTAAAAAGAAAATATATTCAATTCTAATTTTTTTAATGTAAAAATATGTACATAGTACTGTCTAATTATTTTTACAGGTACTGTCTTTTTGTTTCATTCACATTACCTTTCACCTATATCTAACAACTCTTTTTATAAGACTATACGTTTCAAATAAATTAGCTATTCCTGATTATTTTGAATGTTTTGCCATATTTAAATCCTGGAAAACTGTAGGCTTTCTAATTTTCTTTTCCATTTTAGTATACAGCATACATTTTTTCAGTTAAAACTAGGAACTCCAAATTTTTTTTCCCACAAGTTAAGATATTTTGCAGCACAATCTTCAGATTTAAAAATTAAATAGTGCATCCTGTTTGAGTATTCACCATTTAAATTTCTCAATTTTTGCATTGTTATTACAAGGATAAATTTTAATTTCTTTCTGTTTGCGGAAAGTTCCCTATTGTTTTTCAAGGTGGCTGCACCAATTTACATTTCCACCAACAGGGCACAAATGTTCTCTTTCCTCCACTTTCCCAAAACTTATCTCTTGTCTTCGATGATAACCATTTTAACAGGTGTGAGGTAGTATCTCCTTGTGGTTTTGATCTGCATTCCCGAGGTCATTAGTGATGATCACCTTTTCACGTACTTGTTGAGCATTTTATGTTTTCTTTGCAAAAATATTTATTTAGATCTGCTCATTTTTAATGGGATTGTTTGTTTTATTGCTATTGAGTGTATGAGTTCTTTATATATTTTGTGTATTAACCTCTTATCATAAATATGTTTTATAAATGTTTTATCCCATGGGGTAAGTAGCCTTTACATTTTGTTAATGGTTACCTTTGCTGTGCAGAACTATTTAGTTTGATATGGTCCCACTGGTTTATTTTTGCTTTTATTGCCTTTACTTTGGTAACAAATCCAAAAACTCATTGCCAAGACCAATGTCACACAGCTTACTTGACATTTTCTTCTAGTAGTTTTATTGTTTCAGGTCTTCTGTTCAAGTTTTTCATTCATTTTGAGTTGATTTTTGCTTATGGCATAAAATGGGATCGAGTTTCATTCTTCTTGCATGTGGCTGTCCAGTTTTCCCAACATCATTTATTGAAGAGACTATATTTTCCATACTGTATATTTTTTTCACATTTTATATTCTTGGCTCCTTTATCTTAAATTAATTGACAGTATATTGTGGCTTTATTTTGGGTTTCTCTATTCTGTTACATTGATCTATATGTATGTTTTTATGCCAGAACCAGAGTGTTTTGATTACTGAAGCTTTATAATATAGTTTTAAATCCGAAATTGTGACACCTTCACCTTTATTCTTCTTTCTTAAGATTGCTTTAGCTATTAGGGGTCTTTTGTGGCTCCATACAAATTTTAGAATTGTTTTTTTCTATATCTGTTCGATTTTTAACACAGTGATACAAAAATATAAAAGGATTTTAATACCTTTTTTAGAATACTTTGGTTTACTTATAAAGCAGTTCTTCAAAGGATAAAACATTTCTAAAATCTGTTTATTGACAATGAAAAAAGAAAGCATGTACTACCATATTACTTTTAAAATTATTCATCATTAACTGCATCACAAAAATTCTATATTTTAGCCAGTCCTACTTTGCAGAAATTAAAAACAAAACAAAACACCTGTAAATCCTGACCATACTTACTTCTATTTTAATTGGAGTTTTTCACAGTTTGTTTGTAAACAAAAGGATAAAGTCTGTGTTCACCACAGCCAACCCTAAGAATGTTTCTGTTCCATAAGCTTCCTAATTTGGCAAGAATATTTTTAACATGACTTTTTTTCACCAATATTTATACTTACGTTATCATTACAAAACCAAGTAATTTTATTTATTTATTTTAAAACTTTTTAAACTAAATTTACAATTTGTCAAATGTTTCATTTCAGCAAAATGAATTACCCTAATCTTTACTTTGATTTTATAAATGGGATCAAAATACTGAACTGCTGTTGGAATTAGTATGTTGATTTGAAACATCTGATAACAAGGATGTAAAATTAACACAATTTAACCTTTTGCAAAGTTCTGCTAATAGAGCCAGTACATAAATAGCTATCGCTTTACTTATTTAAAAATATTTATTTATTGATCGATTAATTTTGGCTGTGCTGGGTCTTAGTTGCGGCATGCGGGATCTTTAGTTGCAGCATGCAGACTTCCTAGTTGTGCATGCAAACTCTTAGCTGTGGCATGCATGTGGGATCTAGTTCCCTGACCAGGGATTGAACCCAGGCCCCCTGCATTGGGAGCATGGAGTCCTATGCACTGGACCACCAGGGAAGTTCCTCACTTTACTTTTTTTATGTGCACAAGGATCTTTGGACTTAAGCATGAGCAAAATTAATGAAGAACATTTATTTGATCTAAATGAAAAGCCTAGTTTTAAGACTAATATAAAAACCTACCTTCTTTAACTACATTTGTTAAAATATCATCTTTGGCAAGACGTCTATAAACTACTAACTTTTGGAGTAGATGCTGATGCTTTTCCAAAAGAGTTGCATCTTATTTTTTCATGTGTTTATTGATATAATTCCAGTCCCTGTAGTGAATAATAACTATCAACAAGCATTTTGTGCAAGTTAAAATTTCACCCTCATTCTTGGCATATAAAAAGTCAATAATTAACTTTTCATTAAGAATATTTTTAAAAATAATTTTTATTTATTGCAAAAGGCAAAAAGCCACAGATTTTTAAGGAAATATATACATATATGATATATAATAATTATTATATATATTCAGTGGCTGAATAACTGAAAGGTGGAGTTCTAACAAACCATCTCCATGTGTTTGAATGCAACTATGAATAATATTGCATTGCTTGCAAATTAAAAAATCTAGGACAATGCTAACAGGAAGCAGGGACAACAAATGTGTCTTTGGATACTCCAAGCAAATCTGGGTATATGATCCCCCCCTACAAAATAGTCAATGCTATAACTGTCTGTGCGTGGATCAACTGAACTATACAAGGATCAAAGTAAAGCACGATCACAAATTCCATTAGTCATGTACATATTTTTATACAACTTACATTTTAATACTGGATTGCTTGCAAACGAGAAAACACCAAATTTCAAATTAATTTAGGGCTGGCATGATTTGTTTGCACATGCTAACCTAGCTCCCTCTGCAGCCACTCACTGTTCATCATTCTATTAGCAGAGGATACAATTAAGTCTGCTTATTTTGTGCTTTTTAAGCATGTCTACTGAGAGGAGACTTAATATCTTTACCTTTTCTGCTTTTTGATGCTACCTATAGGATAAGGACAAGCACATATACTGACAGCATTTAAGGAGTTAATAAACAATGAAAGTCTGTTGGTGGCTAATCTGCTTGAACATCATAGAATCATATTAAGTAGTATTTGTTGAATATTTCTATAAACAAGGCATTAGGTAGTTTTTCTGATACCCATATGGCCCTGGGTCAGTCCTGTCATCTCTTTAAGTGAATTTCCTCATCTCTTAAGTAGACATGCATGATTATCTAAAAAGTCTAGATGGAATTGAGTCTATTAGGAATATCAGTTACTTCAGGGAAAACATGTTTATTGTGAAAAACATGGTCTGGTTCCAATAAATTGTTAGCATGCTTGATCATTGATATCTTTACCATGTAAAAAAATTATTTTTATTCCCAGCTGCACTGATGAGGAAACAAATACCGAAAATTCAGAGTAAATTCTACCAGGCCACACAGCGAGGTCTGATAGAGCCAGGAGAGACTTACGAAATCCAGACTCCCCAACTAATGTTCTATCAGCTAGACCTCCAAATGAGCCTCACAAATGTAGGTAGGAATAGCTTTCCCTAAGACGCTCATGAAGCAAAACAGAGCAATACTTCATTCCATGTGATGTCTAATTTGAAATGCAAACAATTGCCAATTTGTTTGACTTGTATTTATAATTATTTCCTTGTGAATTACTCATCACTAAATGCTTTATAAATATTTTCTCTCTTTCCCAATGTCTATGGAATGATCATAGCATAGAAAATGTTGACTTTCAAAGATTTATTAATATCTCTTTCTGAAATAACATGTATTTGTAAGATATGGTAAAAGCACTTTTAAAGAAACAAATCTTGAATTTGAATTCCCTCTCCGACAATGACTAAACCGACGTTCTTATTAAGATGAAGTGCACAGTGACTTTTATGTAAATGTAGCCATTATATAACAAGTAGAAAGTAAATATGTATATTTGAATTTAGTTGAGCACAGCCTCACCATCAGCTCCTTCTGATAGATTTTTAGACTTCACTACCTTTATGTAAGCTGAAGGTATTGCATTGGATGCATTAGTGAATCTGTTTTTACTTTTGCCTATAATGAAAAGAAACAAACTAGTGGCCATAATATGGCAGCATGTATCATATGCTTACCATAATCTAGAATGTTAACTCTACATGAAGAACTGAGCCTTTTATTTCTCAGTCTTTTTGAACATGAGACATAATTTAAAGCATTTCTAGATAGTAACATAATTACCCCTTTACTCAGGAATTTAAATTCAGATTAGAATACGGAGCTTAGTAACATGACTCAGAATATTGTTCTTACTCTTTGTTTGTAATCATTTCAATATCAAATACTTTTTAAAGAAAAAAGAAAACAGCAGTTCTCCCCCTTTTTGGTCTTGATTGCTATCATATGGTGATTGTATATGTGTTTTTCAATCTTTCCCATGAAAAACTTGTTTTGAATTTAAATCAGCCTAAATACTAAAAACTCTAACATCCCCTTTTATAAACAGAAATTCAAAATTGTTAAATATTAATGGCAATTCCCTTAAGCAAGAGAGAAAGGAAAACCATTAGAAGAAGTTCAGAGAAACCTAACATACTTATTAATGAACCTCAGGATTGGCTTATAAGGAAAGATTAAAGAAAAAAATTTAAAAAGGAAAGCTAGACTTGTTGCAGGAAAAGACCATGGTGACCAAAGCTG